GGGGGGTGGGTGGGGGCGCGCAAGAGGGAAGTAGCCTGATGCAGAATCTCTTCTTGATGTTTTCGTACATTGTATTTCTTCGTTATGGATTGCGCATCAACCCACCTCGAGGGACAGTCCTGAATTTGGAACAGAATCATGTAAACGAATTTACAACTTATAAACATTAAACCACAATGTTTTCAGTTCAAACAACGATGACATTCAATTCTCAATAATAAAATTTTACAAAAGTTAGTTATGTTAAATAAATTGAGTTCATAAAACTTAAATCTCATATTTTTAGAAAAAATGTATCCCATTTATTCAGCATATAAAATCAAGAACAGAATCATCAAGAGGAATTAACGTCTGGTAAGAAGAAACTTAGCCAATTGATCTCAAGTGTCATATACTAAAGATACAAATCAACTTGTCATACCTTCCAGGAAGCAACTGTGAACTACTAGATGGAGCTTTCGAACCACCAAGTCGCTTAGACTTGTTATCTTGTTCTTTATCCACTCTCATAGCAGCCACCTCTTTCTCCATTGCAGCTACTTCCCTTCTCATCTTTTTTGCCTCCACTTCCATAGCTTTAGTCAATGTATCAACTTTCTTGGCCAGCATCTATTCACAAGTTTCACAGTAGAAAGTGTACATGAGTTTGGAAATGGCCACCAAACTGTTACACAGATGCTAAAGGGGAACTTACCTCAATCGCATCATCCTTGTCTTTTAAGCTCTGGTCCTTCTCATGGCATGCTTTCCTCAGAGTAATTACCTCCTTCTGCAACATATCATACAGAAGTCCAGAGACACAATCATCTGAGTCAACATTAGATAACTCATTGGTTTTCTCTTCTGGAATTTCCTTCCAACTGTTATGTGAGATATTCTCTGCAGTTGCATCAGAAGATCTGTTCAGTGACAAACTAGCTCCATTCAGGAGGGCTTTGCTTCGGTCCAATGACCTAGTGCCACCATCAAATGACTTCGATGCCCCTTTGGCATGTTTCAGTACCATGCTACTGGAAAGAGAAGATCTCATCTGAAATGATGGTCGCTTTGAAAGGAAGCCATTAACACTCTTAGGAACATTCTCAGCTCCACCAAGGGACTGGCGGCGTGAAGGACCATTGCTTACACTCTTCCCCTCTACAATGGTGCGGTTACTGCCACCTGCTGACATTCTCAATCCCTCTTCCAAAACCTTGAGCCGTACCTGAAACTTCTCCTGAAATGTCCAAAACAATTTGCCACTAGTAAATAGGTATCATGCTCTATGACAACATAAAATATAACAAAAATAAAACATTTATGGTAAGACATTCTACTTTCAACTGAGCTTCAGATCTTGCAGTACGTTCTGTTATAGCAAGCTTGTCCCGAAGTTGCTGCATCTCACCCTGCAAAACAATGTATGTGATGACAGTATTTACCATAACAAGAAAAAAATATTGGGAATAGCGTGTATCGATTGATATGCTACAAAAGAAGAGGTGTGCTTCAGAAAATCATTAAACATCAATGCTAACCTGCATGAATCTCCGTTCCTCAAGCCACTGTTTAACAGGCATTACTTTGTCACTAGCATCTTTCCATTCATTTGCCACAACCACTGCAACCCTATTAGCTGTAACCTTTGCCCGAGCAAGTTCACGATCAAGCGTTTTCATCTCTTCCTAAATGTATAAATGACAATTTAACAAGGAAAACAATATACATTTGTTCTCTAATGATTTAAAGCAGTTCCAACACAAAAAAAACAGAGTTCTGTGCTAATAGATTAAAAATAAAGCCCAATATATTACACTCATCTCCTGAACTTTTCGCTGGTAATCCCTTACGGCATTTGCAGCTGCACCACCTGCAAGAACAGCTTCTTCCAGTTCTCGTACAGTCTGGCTAAGCTTTTCAACCTCAGCAACCTTTTGTCGATGCATTTTATCCAGGATCTTGTTCTCTTCCTGAATAACGCAAGAAGAGGACTAAGTATAAAATTTCTAATAGCATCACAGCCTACAGATTCTGTCCCCATTTTGAAAATAAATAAGCATTTTGTTCCTGGATACCTGACATATTTCGATCTGTTTCATTAATTCCTGGTTCTTATTTTGTAAATCATCCACCATAGAGGCCTTTGCTAAAGCAATCTGTACGGTCCGTTCTGCTTCCAGCAGTGCTGCTTCTTTTGATTTGGTAAGACGATCTAATGCCCTGTTGTCATCCTGTAGCTTTGCAATCTGCAAATAAGAGAGAGATCTTCAACAGTTTCTACTTTCTACCACTTTGGGCCCCTAATTTTCTGTTGACAAATAGGGAAGTCTAGTGTGATACATTCAAACAACTTAGAGCTGTTGTAAGCCAATAGAAAAATTAGCCCTTAATCTCCTACAAGCACAATATAACTGACATACATATATGGCAACAACTTTGGAAATAACTAATGATCAGCAAGACAACGAACCAAGCTCACAAAACAATGGAAGCCCATACAAGTACAATATGTAGTCTTTCACAAATTTGGATCATTAAGAAGATTAGGAAATGGGAACTGAACAATGAATAACTAGACCAGACAACATCACGAATACCAGCAACACCCAAGATGCAAAAAGAGTTCAATCGGTAGACAGTTTGTTTAAAAGAAGGAACAAACAAACAACAAAAAAAGAAAACACTTTAGTAATTGCAAACCAATTAAGTTGTTCATAAACTTGAGATACAGGGAAGGTCATTGCTGTGTTGACCAAGGCATAATTTTGTAATCTTTGGGTGGAACATTCTATCAAAGCACAATTGTAGAATTATAAAATTTTGCAGGAGCAATGTTTCAAAAGAAAACCTCCTGCCGAGATAGCTTCAACTCTGCCTCAAGAGGAGCAAGAATGGCTTCAATTGGGGGCATGTCATCATCTTTTTGATCTGCATGGACTCTTCTAAGTGTTGCCTCTGCTGCAAACTGTGCAGCCAAGGCTGCTTTCTTTTCATCATTTATCCTCTTAATTTCAAGATTCTGCATGGTTAACTTTTCATCAACCACTGTTCATAGTGGAATCGTCAATCATACATGACAAACAACAGCTAAAAGTAAATTAGTGAGTTATATGTAGTACCCTGTTCTCAAGAAGTGATTCAGTGAGCTTGAGCTTCTCATCCATCTTATTCAATTCTTCCGTTAGCTGACATTGGTGACAAAAGAGTCAGAAAACAGCCCATTAATATCATTAACTCATTCAGTATTTTCTCTCCACACATTGGAATGCCAAAAGTAAAGGAACAAATGGTAAAGAAAAATACAAGAAGTAAAAGGAACACTAGATATATTATAACAATGTTCGGACATTGATATTCACTGCAAGATTACTTGAAGCCATGTATAAGATAATAATATTTGATGTTGACCAATATAACATGTTTCCATGGAGATGGCGTTCTTTAAATGCAAATTTTAAGTTACAAGATCAAATTGCATTTCCTTACACAAAAACCCAAACGAGCATATACCACACTTAGAATCTGAAACAACCTTATCGTAGAGCTTTCTTTGCTTAAAGCCAGAAAAGGTTCAATCTTTAGAATGTTTTCCATCTAGAAATCGTAGAAACAAATATGAACTACAAAATGCAGAAATTGTAAAGCTATAAAATGGACTAAGAAAATTCACCATGTTGATTTTTATAAGGGCAAGAATCGGAAATAGCAAGAAATTTTGTCCTAAAAAAGAACAGAAATGAAAACAAAAAAATCATCACGTGCTCATAACGGGACCTGAAAGAAAAAGTCATAATAATTTGCTTCTCTCTAGAAAAAAAAACAAAAATAGAAAAATAAGGCGTTAAGACCAAAACCACACTCAGACCACAAATAAAAAAACGCCATTTTGTAAAATAGAACTGTTATGAGGCAAAGAAATTGAGAAAAAAGAAAAACGCATCAAGAAAACAATGTCGACATGATAAAAGGGATCAGGGAATTAACAGCCATTAAGGAGAGAATAAAAACAACAAACGAATGATTTAACAGGAAGTAAAATCGGCACATTCACCTCTTCGACTGCCTTCTCTCTCGCGCGCTCAGACAACCTCAGAGCTTTGATCTCCGCCTGTGACTCAGATAATTCTCGATCTTTGTCTGCAATCCACCAAAATATCCAAATAAATTTCAATGAGATGCTACACAAACCAACCGAATAAACTAATAGAAAGGAACGCAGCAAACCGCAATCCCACCTCTGACTTCATTCTCGAGCCTATTCAGCTCGACCTTCACCGGATCCGATCCGTGGAGCAGATTAATAAACTCGTCCACCTCCAAGTTGGGCTTCATCGAGGCCCTTCGCCTCAGGGCCGGCGCCGACTTCCCCTCAATCTTGAACGACGCAGACGCCGTCAGAGCCTCCGGTGCCGGCTGCGGCGTCGCATTCCCCCCGGCGGCCTCGCCTAAGAACCCTTCCCCGCCGAAGTCGCGCAGATCTGACATCCTGGATCTGACGCTCTCTCACATCGAAGGCAAGTAAAGAGCCCAATTTAAACAAAGAGGAGGAGATTTTCGAAATGCGAACTCGACTCCGATTCCAAGTACTAGGGTCCTCCTCCTCGATCGAAATTGAGATCTCCTTCCTATGGCTTCGATCGAGTCCGTCGCCCACAAGAGCAACCCTAACTGCGTTCCTTCCTCCAATCGCCCTCGTCGCAAGTAATGTGCTGTGGGGGAGTGCTAATAAGTAGACTACAGTGAGGAGGGGGGCAAAGGGACGCCCGCTATGTTATATCGCTCCTCCTCTATTATTTATTCGTACTAAGCAAACCCCCGAATATGTTTGCTTCACTATCCGATGTAAGATCAGGGCTGAATCAAAAGTAAATCCAACGGCGGATAATGAGTCCTCAAGCAGATCTCGTCTCTAGGGCATGCGGTGTCGTTACCGCACCGAGGGAGACGGAGCCTCTGCTCCCTCGCGATGCCACGTAGTGTAATTGGTGTCGGAATACTCTCCCTGGATCGGTCAAACGATTTGGACTCCCTCTTCTTTATGATGCTGGTGAGCTGTCCGGTGCAAGACAGCGAACAAAATTCTGACTAAAGCGTCAGTGACACGTACCAGGATAAAATCTATGCCAATATTTTTTGTACTCCTTATCCGTCCCACCCACATACGGTGATCCGATTGGGGCCTCAAGGGGCCCACAGGAACTCACCAATCCTCTGCTACCAGACAAGGCATAGGCAGCCTAAATGAATTCAAAATCTAAGTATTTATTATTTATTTCGGGTATAGCTACGATTACGTCAGGCCCGCATAATTTCCAGAAGCCGAACCGGCAATCTGAGCCGGACCGAGACACCGAACCGGATCCTATGCGAGTTCTCGATGCGCGTGTAGCCGCTCTAGTTTTCTACGTACGGGTACGCCGTGAAGGGGAGCGGGGGGGAGCTGTCGCCTTTGGTCGACTTGCAAGAGGGAAGTAATAGATTGCAGGATTAAGTCATCATCTTGTCGTCGAGGCGATGGATCGTGAGTTGATCTCTACTTTGCTGCAGGTTGATTGGAACCATCACTGTCAGCCCTAATGGACTGACAACGATGTCCTTCTACTGTTCGAGCTGTGAGGAGCGTATGAGCAATGGCCCCACTGAGAGGAAAAGTAGGGCAAGATCGCAGATTGAACGATGCCAAAAGATGACGCCTCCTCTTCTTCTTCTTCTCCTTCTTATTATTATTATTTCAACTGCTGCTCTTTTTGGCGGATTTGGAGTGTGGTTGTTGTCATGGTAGAGGGTTGGTGGCCGGTTGGGCATTTGCTAGAACTCTCCTTGTGGATTCTGTGGTAGTCTAAGTCCTCATTTGAACCAGCAATAATGAGACGAGGCTGTGCATTCCGATGCCAACAATGGCATATGCAATGGCCTTCTTTTGATGGTTCTTCTTTCAAGCTTGAACACCGTCACTTCATGTATGGAGGAGTGGTGGACCTTTTGGTTGCACTAAATCGAAACACTGCAAGAACATATATCATGGAACAATGATTCGACACCTACACCATAAGTTCCTTGTTCAAGCATGTATCTTGTTGTTCTTCTAAGTAAGGATATGGGCTGCTCATGTGTCGCATTGATGAACTTTAGAAAGGACTACCGATTGGCAGGTTCCAATAATGAGCTACAGAAAGGAGGGGATAGACTTGTGTGTACTTTGCTCTCCCTTGAAGTATCTTCCTGGTCGTCAACAAGCATTTAGAGGAAAGCTAACATGGCTTTGAGCTTTTCCTCCCCTTGAAGCCAAAGAAGGGGCTGCATATTACAGCTGCACTCCTGCATATAAATGATTTCCTCTGTTCCTTTTGAAATGTCAAACAGGAGCACAAAAAATCTTAACGTGTGGCCAAATCCATTGCTGTCAGGATGGTGATGCAACCACCTATATAGATCATCGTGGCTTCAACAGTTGGTGAAGTCGTCATGAATACTCAAGTTGGATTCTCTGTGGGCATAACTTCACAAAGCATGGAGGTTGTGGGGGGACTGTCGGCTTATCAGAATCCAAGACAAGGAGGTATCCAAAGCTTTCCATGTCTATATCTCCCGGTCTCATGATGCTTGTTGCTGTAATCTATGGAACCTCTTTCTATAATTAAGTTGTCGAGAACACCAAGGAAGACCATGCTTCTTTAACCACAGAAAACCCCTGTCGGGACTTGAGTCTATTTCTTTAATCATAGGAGTAATAAAGGACATGCATGCGAAGAATAGTATATGTCCATGAACATTAAGGAGATTATAGAACTGTTCGGATAAGTGAGAGAGAAGAGGAGTTTCTAACAAGCTTTTGCCTTTTTTATGTTTGGAAGTGGATTCTTGTACTTTGGTCTAAAGTTACTCGTTTTCATGAGAGATTTCAGACCCAAGGAAGTAAGGCATTGTTCGATTGTCTTTAGATAGATGCCTTGGATTTAAGATGACAATGAAAGTAAACGATTTATCCTGGTTGTTCTTACTGCTAGCGTCATTGTTGTATGCCATTGTCCCTTGGGATCTTGAGATACAAAGATTGGAACTCCAAGGTTGGAGCCGTGATCATAGCTAAGCAGAGTAATGGCCTTGAGCTAATCTGATCTTTCAGCTGACAAGTCAAAGTAAAACTAGAGAACACAGGCTGAAATGTTCTTCCGTAGCTCAAACTCCTCGAGAATCATGGAAGGCGTTTGCCACATCAACCACAAACCGGTATCTCACATCGCCCTTCTCCAGCCGCTCCATCGCAAGATTCACATCTTCCATTCTGACCACCTCAACCTCCGGCGTAACCCTGTGCTCGCTGGCGAACTCCATCATCTCCTGAGCGACCTTCATCCCGCCGATCATGCTTCCGACGATGCTCTTGCCTCCTGCAACGCACAAGCCAAAACATGTGGTCGATCGACGGCACGCGATGAACAACTGGGAAGGAGAAAACCAACGCATGCATGCTAACCTGAAACCAAATCGAATGATGGTATCTCCATTGGCTTGGTCGATGTCCCAACCATAATTATCTTCCCGTGCGTCTTCAGCAAAGCGACCAAAGGACTGAACGAAAGAGCACCGGCACTTGTGCTGACGATATGATCCATAGTGCCCGCGGCAGCCTAAAAGAGCAGCGACTATTTCATGTAACACGAAGAGAAAAAGTATCTCTCTCTCTCTCTCTCTCTCTCTCTCTCTCTCTCTCTCTGTTGTTGAACTGATGATACCTTCATCTGTTCGGCATTACTGATGACTATAAACGAGTCGGCTCCAAGCAGCTCCACCGCATCCTTCTCCTTGTCAGGAGTTGAGCTGATCACGGTCACTCTCAACCCGAAAGCCTTGCCAAACTTCACAGCCAAGTGGCCGAGCCCTCCGAGGCCCACAACGCCCAGATGCTTCCCCGGTTGGTCCAGTCCATGCTGCTTCATCGGGGTGTACACGGTGGTGCCTGCACACAACAGGGGGCCGACCTTGTCCAGGGGCAACGTCTCCGGGACCCTGACGGCGAAATGCTCGTTGACGACCACCATGTCGGCGAATCCCCCGTAGGTTTTAGTGCCATCAGGGTAGAAGCTGTTGAAGACGGGAACCAGTTTGGGGCAGTAGTTCTCATCGTCCACTCTGCAGTTGTCACAAGAGCGACAAGCACCGGCCATGTACCCGACGCCGACCTTGTCGCCGATCTTGAACTTGTGAACGACCCGCCCGACTTGGGTTACAACGCCTACAATCTCGTGCCTGGTAGATTCAAAAACCATGGACAGAATCCATTTGAGCAACCACTGTCAATGTTCCTTAGATGATGATGACATGCTTGCTCACCCTGGGACGACCGGGTACTTTGCGTTTCTCCAGTAATTCTTGATCGTGCAAAGATCGGTAAGGCAAATTCCACAGTAGAGTACCTTCAAGGTGATGTCGTCGCCTTTCATGGCTCTGGAAAGTAGCGAGTGACATAGGTCAAACGAACCAGAAAAGGAAGCAAATTACTTTAGCTGAATTGCCAAGAGGAAGACGGAGATACAGGAAATAATGATAAAGAAATCATAATATAACTCAATGAAATGAATATTTCCTTCTATTGATGATCTGCAAAGAGCCAAACAGGGATGAAAGTCTACTCTCTCATGTCCTTTAATAAGTTGCATAAAATGATATGGATTAGAAATTTATGATGACATATCACACTTCATTAGACGCGGCGATCGAAAAGTTTCAAGATGGATGTTGGATCAACTGCTTCAACAAGAGATCAGAAAAGCGAGGACGCGGCAGAGTACCTTAAGGGGAAGGCGAAGGGGGAGAGGACTCCGGTCGAATCCCTGGCTGCCCATCCATGTCCCGTCTCTTCTTCTTCCATCTCTCTCCGCCCTCTCTGTCCCTGTCGAAATGACTGATTCAGTGCGCCCAATATATATATATATATATATATATATATATATATATATACACACACGCGATGAACCTATAGAACGCTATATTTGGTAGCCAATTACATGCATGCACATTTGACGGTCTCCATAAATCCACCGAATTATTTCCCAAACATGGGTGATGCTGCTAACGAATGTACATGAAAATTGATTCTAAAGTTAAGCACGAAATTGATTGATTACAAATGTAATAATTAGAAAAAAAATATTTTTTTGAGAGAATTTATTTAAAAAAAATCTTTGTTATTTGAGCTTAAAATCTTATGATATAAATTATCAAAGTCTTTGTCAGCTAACCTAACTAATACTTTTAAAAATTTTAACCTTAAAATTTATCATGATACTTTTTATTTTAAATAAAAAATATTTTAGATTGTGTTTTATTTATTACCGGTATAAGAGATGGAATGAGAGGAAATAAGATTATTGAAGCAATCCTATACCTTTTTCATAATTAATTTTTTTTCATTTATGTTTTTGTGTGTTAATAAACCAAAGTGTTATACATTTAAAAAAAATCATGATCCATGATAATGTTATTATAATTACTTTAAATTATGAATTATGATTAAGTAAATTAATAATTAATAAAATTTGGATATTAATTTTTTTTATATATTTTTCAAGATCAATATGCATGATTGGTAATGTTATTTTAATTAGTTTAAATACTGATTCATGCCTAGAAAAATAAAATTTTATTTGGGGTTTTGGTCTAGCTAGGATCGTAAGGGACATGATTCTGCTAGAGCTTGTGGAGCATATATGAGACCTTTTATAGTGGGTTTCTAATAACGAATAAGAATAAATAATTATTAATATGTGTGGGAAGATCGGATACTATTTAATGGTGGAGAGGCCTTTTGAACTACTCTGCGTTACGATTATCAACAGCAAATCAATTGCCGGCTACAGACGAGGATTCCTATCGTTTGGAGGACCACAGATGGATGCAGAGCAAAGTAAATAGGCCACAATTTAGCCCTCTGTATGTCTCATTCGGAATGAAAGAAGGTAGACAGTCGGTGGATTCCCCACCTCTTTCCACCCAACGCATAGAAGATGAGAAGCGGCAGCAATCAAATGTGTTGTCTATCGCGTGGTCCCTCGTGGAGGCTGAGAACCACAGTCGCTGTTGGCCAACGCATTCGATCGGAGACCAAAGTAGTGGAAGAAAAGGAAGGCGATGATGCACACACACTACAGTGTTCTTCTTTTCTTTCCTATTTAGAAAGCACAACGGAACCTTTCCGCTGTCGCTTCCATGATAGAGGACCTGTCGAAACATGATGGTTGCCCAATCTTTGTCAAGCATTTTCTTGTGCTAAAGGAAGAGATAGCATGCTCTTTCATTTTTTTTGTTAGATGCCATTGTCCACAGTGCAGCTCACAGTTTAAGAAGATACATCGCAATGATTGGATCGGAGGGAAGAAGAGAAAAGCTGAATCGTTCATGCTCTAGTTATTGGCATCTGTGGGAAGACGGTCCACTATCTGAGTCACTGTTTTCATGGCTTGCACGTGTGAATGCTGCACTCGAGTTGGCATCTTTTCTCTTGTCGCAGAAGGGATAAGGCTTGTAGTTGATCATTCTGCAAGCACGGAGTCCACACAAATGGAGAGTTCTGCAGGCCATCACGAGCGTGAGTGAAGGTGAAGAAATGGAAGGACTCCTCACCTTTGCTTGCGCTTCTCCACGAACCGTGCCAGAGATGCCTTGCGAGACAGAGGTATCGCTGCAGCCGCAGTAAATAACTTGTCTTCAGTAAAATTAAATGCATCAACTGGCAAAAGCAACTACTGAATTGAATTGCAGTATACCTCTAGGCGAGGTTGTGGTTGCAGGACTCAAAGACACAGGAGTTGAGGCTGCAGCTGCATGATTCCTGCTGCTGGCCAGCAACATGATTTCACGAGCCTGAAAGAGATAATATGGCATATTGATGTGGAAAGCTTTGCTGATTTCTATAAAATCATTAAGAAGAACATGATACCATATCCGATGAGACATTGTCGTACACTATCACTGAGCCTCCGTAGAAGATGGTTAGCTGTGAGGGCGATGAAAAGGACTTCGATGTGTTCCTGCATGGCCAAAAGCTTTCAAGTTCTGCTTAGTAACATACCAACTTTGGGAACTACGACGTTATTACCATGATGAGCGGTCTCCTAAAAATGTGGATCTCACAGAATGGTCTTCTTCTGCAGTGGCTCCTCCACTTCCGGCAAGTGGAGTGGAGTAATGCGAGACCAGAGGACAATCCGAAGCTATGGTAGCAGAAGAACTGGTGAGGTGCTGCTTCAGTCCTTGTCTTCCGAGATTAGAGAGTGTCTACAAGTCAGAACACGGCATCTAATTAGTCTAAACCGATCATTACTTGCTGTGATGCTTGTCAGTCACGAATTAATCCTCTCTCTCTCTCTCTCTCTCTCTCGATTAAGCAAACCTGAGAGGATACCACAGGAAAGCATTTTGGGTTGATATGAAGACCAGGGAAGGAGAAGTGGTCGAACGTCGTCCTTTTCAGCTTACATTCATCTGCAGCATTTGGTGATTGAACTTGAAGCAGAGCAGCAGTTTCGTTTGCGTAAGGCCACTGAACTGCTGGATTTACAGTAAAGATCGATATTGAATCTGATGATCCAGAGAAGGTTGATGTTGCAAGATTAGAACACGAAAAAGACACAAACGACTGCCGAGAATTGAAGGGAGGGAGACGAGAAGGAAAGGAGGACCTGATGAATCCTGGAATCCCCTGCTGCGCTCCTTCACCTGCAGAGCCACCGCGGCGTCGCCGTTTAGTCCCAGAAAGTCCCTCTCCATCAGCAAAGGCGAAGGATCGCAGCTCGTTGGAGTCCTCGCAGGAGGACTCGCCACAGGCCGCTGCTGATGCTTCGCTACGCAATATGACAGCCTTCCTTCGCAGGGAGACAAGGAAACACGTGCAGTGGTACCACCCGCTCTTTTCCCTCGTGAAGCCAAAGGTTGGAGAGGCGATGGATTAAGATTTCCCATCAGAGGATCGTTCGGATCGCAGCCGTCTGTTTCCATCGTAAGACAATGTGAACCGCCGGATATGCTTTGGCGCCGAAGTCCGTGCCAGTTAATTTGTACCGAGATAAATTTGATGACGTGGATAGTACTTGTGAGATTGATGTAAATCTGTGGTCCCACGTGGGACCGGTTGTGGTCTCCCAACTACAGGACAGGTGGATCGGTGGGTGGCACAACGTTGGTGATGAAGAAAGAATCGCTCGCCCCCGAGGCACAATGACGGACTAACCCAATAACAGTTGAGACGGATACGAATCTGAGATCAGTCGGTGTGTGTAATAGGGTCGATGCGGAATTCGGCCGAAGTGGTCAGAGACAGAGAGAGCCCGTGATGGTCCGATTTTGATTTGGACGTTAGGTAGGACCAGCTCCCGGTGGAGATCGTACGATCAGCTCTTTTGACCTGCTTGTTGCATGCGGCCGGTCCTGAGGTGGTTCAGAGCACTTTGTGTGATTAGCCCGCCCTTATGGCTCCTCTTCTTTCCTCGTCTTGGTTGCAAAGAGTCATCTCTCTCTATCTCTCGCTCTCGCTCTTCAAAGTAACGAACAAATCACTAGGTTTCTCAGACTGGTCCGGAGCTGACGTGGCAGGATTCCAGTGGCCTGGTTCATGGCAAACATGGTGGACCAGGTCCAGCCAGCAGTTGGACGTCAGCTACAAGAATCAGCGTCGATGCTGAGCGATGTCTCCGAGGAGAGAAGGCAGGCTATGGAAGACACACCGTTGTCCTCGGTAGCACAAAAAAGGGATGCCAACTGCTGTTCTAAAGTTCACCCGACCGTCCATGAAATTAAAAGGAAGTGGGAAATAAAATCATCGCATCAGCTGATACACTAGAATTTGCCACACAGACTTCCGATCACTCATCACATTAGACTGTTGTGCAACTTTATGTCATGGATGGGTAGTCAGCACCGTTTGGTCCGATCCCGAGAACACAAGATCGTTCATATGATTTCTTCAAGCGAGGGGGCTGGTGCTAGGTTAGGTCGGTGCACCATCTGTTGGGTTGACCCGAGGTAGAGTAGGGAGTCGGCTCCTCCACATTGGGCTTTTGCACACACATCGAAGTTTGGAGGGGGATTCCTGACTCGACCCCTCTGAAGATTAAGTTAGTATGAGGAGTTGAGGATGTTTTGAGTGTCTAAGGTCTGATTCTCTAATGCTAGCAAGAGGATCAACCTTTATACTTGTAGTCGAGGGCTGATCGTATGCGATCCGTTAATGGTCGCTGAGGCTCCAAACAGTCGATCCATATACTTTGCACGACATAGATCGACTTGCATGGTTCTGTGCCGCATGACATTGTTTTGTGTGTTCTCGAATAATTTCGTGCTGTGCGACGCCATCTCATACGACCCCGAGTGACACGGCACGATCCGTCGTCTCATAGGAGTTCGAGGTGCCACATTGGTATGCATGCGCCACATCGACTCCAAGGCTCTATGCTGGTTTTGATGTGACTCCTAACCAATGATTAGAGGATGGCACTTGAATATATCCTATCGGATACCACCGTTTCTGTCCGGCTCAGATGATTCAGAAACTCCCGGTGGCAAAAGATCATGTAGTTTGAGGCATCTAGAAATCAAAGTTGAAGGTATCATATAGCCACAACACATGGTTTGCTCACCAACAAGAGATACAAAGCTACAGCAAGGTCGCCATATATGAGTTACAAGCTACTCCCAGTGTAACAAAAAGAAGCAGCATGAAAAAAGCACCATTGTTTTGCGAAAGCAAAGATCCTTGTAAGTGTGAAAACCTATTAACCTGTAAAATACAAAAATAAAAAAGCCATAAAAGACAACACCATTACCATGCGATAGCAAAGATTCTCTTAGATATGAAGAATTAGATGGTACATAAAGAAAGAATGTAAAGCGATGAAAATTGTTTATATCCAAAATGAAAGAAAAATGTTCCATTATGTGTTGATTGAAAACTTGTGTCTGCATTGCGGACAGTCGTAAAAGACCATCTGTTCTTCATCAGCTGAACGTAGCTGCAAATTTAGATGATAAGTGATTGAGAAGCATGAACATAAAAACAAACATATTTGCAAACAACAGATGATCGACAAAATAACTTGTCAGAGAAAGACATGATCAACAAAAAGAACAACTTGGACATATAATCATATGAACAAAATCAATAAGGTGGAAATTTACCTGTTTGGTATAATATTCAAGTTCAGGATGATGACACTGGGGACACTCTTCGTTAACCTTATCACACAAGAGTGAATCATAGTTTACATGTGACATTCAAATGAAGAAACACAGTTGGTCTTAAGTTGCAATGCACAGGATGAATCTTCAGGTGCTGTCTTTGGAACACTTCATTATCAACAGGTGCTGTCTCAAGGAGTACAAAGGGTCAATCTTCAGTTCTGTTAGTGTAAACTCCTTTTTTTCTTAGCCGTGACCCGAGAGGTCGTCTCGGCTCGTTCGGGGGTCCGAATGGCGGGGATCTCCCTGGGGCGATGCTCGTCTCCACCGGGGCGGTCGGGTGCGGCCTCGGACTCGGGGCGATACAGCGACTTCCTCCGGGTGGGGACTCCTCGCCTGCGCGCCCCGAACGGGAATCCTCGGCTTGATACCTGCACAAAGGTCGGGTCGGCTTAACCCGACCCCTCCGACGATCAAGTTAGAGAGATGCGGTCGCGGTTGTTCGGGGGGTTCAGCCTGGTCTCTTCCCTCTGGCTCGAGGACGTTTATAGGGGGAACTCGGCACTATCGGGCGCGCCCTCCCGTCGGTCGGGGCCGTATCTCTGATGGCGTCCGACATCGCCGAGGACCTTGCGTATGGGAACGGGGAATCGCAGGGTATGGGCGAGCTTCAACCGCTACCTACTCCTGTCTCGTCCTACTGTGCTGGGTCAACTGAGGGACTGTGGGCACAGTGAGGCTGACGTCCGGACGCAGACCGTTGCCCTCGTTGCTCTCCCTGGGGCGCCGCGCCTGTCCACGTGCGGGGGGCGTCGCCGGGAGTGGGGTTTACCATTTTTTACCATATCAAGTTCTCTTCTAATATCCTGAAAAAGTAAAGTTGAAAATAGATGATATATGTTTTAGTTAAAGGTACAAAAATGTTGCAACCCTTCAAACATATTTATGAACAAAATCTGTATTAGAAATATCATTTGTAAATCATAAGTGGATTATAATTTTAAATACAAGATTAACCATTATACTGACAAGTACAAACAGGGTTGGGTGGGTTTTGGGGGGTGGACCTACGTATCACGAGTACTGACTACCATCTTGCTGCAAAAATATGAAAATTACATGGCAAATCTGAAAATTGTAGGGTATGAGATGGTATAGAGTATAGACACAACAATGAAGAATATAGAAAAAGGTGACAAAATTTTGTGATGAAAGAAAATGAAATTATCACCATAGATATCTATGATCCTCATTTGATGGTTGGCATATGCAGCATCAATCATGTACATAATAAAGAACCATACTAAGCGTAAACAGAAAAGAGAGCTGAGTACAAACAAGATCCAACTCGAGGCATATTAACACCCTGCTCAGGCTCGATCCCAGACAGATATCAATCATGACAAATATCTGTTGCTACAAATTTACATGCCAATCAAGCAATTGTTGGTCAACAGAGAGGCGTGAGGCGTCATTTGTTGGTTACCCTCAGATGCTACAAATTTACATGCCAATCAAGCAATTGTTGGTCGAAGACGGACAAATTAAGTTATGCAAAGCAGATTCAACGAGTTCATCTATTTATTACAGGTTCCATCGGAAGCCGATGTGCAAGCAGGACGGCCCCGATTTCGGGATTAGAAGAAGGAAAAGCGGAAAGAGAAGCATAGAATTACTTATGGCGTCGCGCTCGAAGCCACGGAGAGGGTATCTGTCGAAGTGAAGGGAATCGAAGGAGCGGAGGGTGCCACGCATGCTGAAGAACAGGAAATCGCGGGCGTGGCAGAACGACACCCTCTTTCTTCTCTTCTCCTCCTCCGGGTTGCAGCGGCGAAGAGATGGATGGCGGTGACGGTCACCTGAGGGACCGCTTCGAGCTTGCAGGCGCAGGAGGGTCAAGGGGGCGGAGCGCGGTGACTTCACGCGGTGTGGGAGCCGCTTGGGTGTACGCTTCTTGCACGTACAAAATGACGGGTATTTATGCATATTTACCCTATCATTTTAAACATTTGTATAAGTAACCTCCATGAAATCATTAACTTATAATTTTTTTCTTTTATGTTCCAAATACTATATATTTTTTGGGTAAGGAAAGGTAAGTCGTATTGGATATCTTTTTTTATAACATTGGACAAAATTAGGAACTCAATTATTTTTGAACGATTTTTGCAGAAAAATCCTTTTTTTTGTTTTTCCTAAAACACTCCATTCATTTAAGTTTTTTCTTCCAACGGTGCTCATAAGTCAAAAGAATATTCAAACCGTCCCTCTCCTTCTTGTTGTTTGTCAATCTCCTTTACTCCTTTAAGATCATTCTTCCTTTCTATCATTCCTCTCCATCGATAATAGGGTCTCGCTGTCGATGGATCAAACAAACCAACTAAATATAAGTTAAACCCTCTAGAATGTCATGATCGATCCTTAAATGTTGCAATTAATCTTGCATCCGAATACAACAGTGAAGCGTCTATTATATAATTGCATATCTTATTATGTCTATAAAAACAACTAATCCTGATTATATATATACATACTAAAGAGGGTAAAAGCGGAGTACAAACACACTTATGTATACAATTGAAGACAAGATCACCGAATAAGTGTATTGCTACGAGGACCTGAGTTCTTGAAAGCTTCTTCTCGAGAAATTTCACTCGTCATCGTCACCGGTGATAAGATGATAGGGAAAGTAATGACGTAAGTATTGATTTGCTGACTCGTACAATAAACC